AACCAGCAGGGACGAGTCCTGACTTCGGGGTTTCGCACAACAAGAGAATCACGAACATCGCTCTTTCGGTCTCCGTGATTCCTTGCATGAGGGCAAAGCGGCTCCTGTCTGGGATCTCGCGCTCTGCGCCTGGCGCGTTGACAGAGGGTTGGCATACAGGCTGCTGTGGTTGTGCAGCCTGCTGCCGGCATGAACTTTAATTCGACAGGCGAGCGTTGAAGCGAACATCCTTCGATAGGCCCGTGTTGGCATCCGGGCTGGTGTTTGCTTCTTTGCAGATTCCGCCGCAAGAACCAGAACAGCTGAAGCAGAGCATCCCGACTTCATCAAGATGCCTCCAGCATTGATGGGCCCAGTCGGCCTTGGATTGTTAAATGCTCGATCAGCGGAACGCTCTGGCTTGTGCCAGCTCGGGTTAGGAAAAAACATCATGTCCGTCTGCTGATTTTAGAGATATTCAGCTGGACAGTTTCTACTGCGCACGTCTGAACTCACTAGCTGGCAACATTGTGTGTCCGGGTCAATGCTCCAGTGGTAGGGCAAGCTTCGCAGCCCTGGCGGGCCGCTCAAAGCCAAGCTCAAACCCAGGCCGACCTACCTCGGCGGCAAGAGCATCGAGGATCCGGAGACCAAGAAGAAGCGCTTCGCCTGACAACGACTGCTGAAGCTGTTCGTTCGGTGCACTCCTGTAGAACCTCCCTTCCTTCACCACTGCTTGAAGCCAGTCCCAAACCCATGTTTTGATGATTTGAGTGTAGTGTGGCCGTCAAGGGTCCAGGATCTTGAGATCGGGCTTCGTGCTTCGACCAGGACTGAGGCCGTTTAGGCAAGGCCCAAACCTATGCCCTGGAAGGGCTTAAAGCAAGCACGTCAACCCTGCACGTCGAAGGTCGACGACTGATGGAAAGGGGTCCAGGGAGTCTAGGCTCTTCTTGGCTCGACGTCAAGCCAAACTTTGGTCCACCACTGAAATGTCCCAAGGCCTCTGGCTTCTTTACATGGTCTCAGGGTTGTCCGTTCTCGTCATCGACCCTGTTCGATTGTTGCTCCAGCACAAAGGACCCACGGAAGGTACCTCAGTCGTGGAGGGCCGTTTTTAGGGGGCTGCAGAATGCAGAAGCAGGCCTTCGGAAAAGCGATGCTTGTGCAAAGACTTCTGCTCAGGAAGCTCAATGCTGAGCTCGCAAATGGACGCGGGAGGCTCAGGCTGTGGCCTGCAGGAGGGCGACGTAAGCTGGTGCAGTGCCCAAGCCCATCCGGCAGGAGCAGGAGAAGCAGTGGAAAGAGTCACGCCTCTGATGCATCCGTGTTTCGGTGTCCCACGTGTTTTCATGGAAGAACTTCGGGCTTCGAGGCTTGAGGATTTCGGGGTTGCGGCCACAGGAGTTCGCCTGCAGTGTACAAAAGATCAATATGCTGTCCGCTTCTTGTGGAAAGAGTCCAGAAAATCGCGAGTCCCATGCCTCAAATGCCGGAAGGTCCCCTAAGGAATCTGGAGACACCCGCACTCTTCAAGGCTTTCGACAGTATGCCGTAAAACTCTGACCCCCAAGTGGTCCGCACAATTCGCTGAGCTGCAGCTGCCAAGGCCTGGCCATGATGGCGATCATTGGTATGTTCTTCCAGGACACCCATGGGATGAGAGAAGTTCCGGGACCTTCGGGGGTTCGGGGCTGTTAAGCGCACGAGGGTCTCTGAAAAAAGTCTGATGTTCGGCGTTTGGTTCGGTTGAAGTTGCCTCAGTCGCTCCATCCGACCGCGGCCTGAAGCCGACGCAAGTGCGCCGGCATAGACTCATTTAAGCCAGAATGCAAGCATGGCATTCTCGCATGTCCAAGCTTGTATACCTTGTCTGGACCATGAAAGCAAGGGCATCTTACAACTCTTAAGTCTTCAGTCGTGAAGCCGGAGATCAAAAGCAGTAGCGCCTCGAAGCCTCATCAGCTTCTAGAGTGATGACCACACGTCCCGGGATCACGTTCACGCCCCAAGCTCTCTTGGCACTGCCCAGTACACCAGGTTCAGCTGTTCGCGTGTTTGTACAGGCGGACGTCGTAATGACGCAGAGATTCTGTACTCGAAAGATCCGAAGCCTAAACCCTGAACCGATGGGGAAAAGAAGAGGATGGCCTGACCGGCTCCGCCTGGGGCGACTGGGCAAACTACACGGCACAGTCCTCGGCCAGGGACGAGACTTAAGGGCTCTGCTGTCCCGGGGACTTTCCTCGAAGCTTTGGTCCGAAGATGCCCAAGAGACCCTTAGGTCCCATGTCCAAGTCTGAGTGCATAGTACATGTTGCTTGGGCTTAGTGTAGGCACCGAGGGCCCCAATAAGCCTGTTGGAAGCACTGCCAGCCCTGCTTGCAGGGCTCAGGGCTGACAAGATCCCAGCAATTTCCTCTCAAGGTTCTCACTTGGAAGCTGTGCCCCTGAGCTCGGGAGTAAGTCACCAAAATCCATCACAAAAATCTAGGGATTTGAGGTATTTTTGCAAAGACCCGTGAATTGTCAGGATTCCCCTCTTCGGGCCTTCGAGAACGAGCTGGGAGTGCAGGCCGGGTGTCGAAGAGAGACGTTCGTTCTTTAAACGTAGGGCCTTCGGATGCAAGGGCTTTTCATTACGCGGGTTTGGGGTGGGCCATCCGTTTTTTTGGACAGCAAATCCCATGCCCCAGAACTCAGTTTCTCGTTCGAAGCTGTTCCGGCTGCTTGGGTGATTGTTTGCCCAGAGTCTTGCTACCCGGTGAGGGAACGCCAGTGGAGGTCGCCACCAGGTTTATCGGGTTGAGAAGGAAGCCGGCATGGTCCCCAACCTGTTGTCTCAACATTCATCCGAAGTCTTCCCTAGAATCGCCCTAGAATTGCCAAAGCCGCAGCCCCGGACCCCATCTCAAGAAACTGAGCACGCACACACCGTCCAAACTACTCACACCCAGCCCCGCCCGAAACTACATTGCGTGAGAACCAGGCTCCGCTGGGCTACTTCGACCCGTTGGGCCTGTCGAAGGAGTGGACGCACTCGCCTCCTTGCAGTGGTCATCCCGGGGGGTTGCCCGAGGGTCCAGCCCGAAGATAAGCCCTAAGGCATCCTAAGGCATCCTAAGGCCCTAAGCGAAAAGCACCCTTTTGGGGAATGGAGGGTGTGAGGCTTCAGGTGTTCGTTGTATCGTGGCTTCAAGGCCGGTGGACAGGGAGTTTTCTGGAAGATTTCTCTGTTCTTGGGTGTTTGTGGCGCTGCCTCCTTCGTGGAGGAGCTGCAGAACTTGTCTGGCACTTCACCCCAAGCACGCGTGATATCTGCTGGAAGACACCCCTCAAGAAGAATATGTGAGAGCTCCTGACTGCATGGAGGTTGTTGCATCGGGTACCTACAGAGCGACTTGGGCGGAGTGCCAGGTGATGATGGTCTTTGATGGTCTTTGTCTCGTCCACTCGTCCTTTTCAGTCTTCTCTCTGTCTCCTTTGCTCTCTACAAACACGTACAGCAGCTAGATGGAAATGTTGGGGGATTGCTCGTCCAGAGTCGCAATTAAATTACCAAGCGGGGCTCACGTCGCTTTTTGCAATCTTCACATCCCGTTCATGTGCCGCCCCCCCCTAAGGTTGAGGTCACCGTGCGCCGAACACGTGGAACGTAGTTCGCTTGGCTGAGCCCCAGCGGGCTCGGGCAGTGTGGCTGGAGAGGCTAGTTTCGTTTTTTCAGAGTTTGGAACTGACGGACCAGTCTTCACCAGTAGAGAACCTCGAGAAACAGACCCTCAAGAGTAAGCGATGGCCATCTTCCAAAAATCAGGAAAACCTACAGGTAGTGAGCAAGGGGCAGACTCAACCGGAGTTAAAACCAGGAAGTCCGAGCGGCCCAACCTTACACACCCAGCAGGACTCGAACCCTCGGAAAGTTGGATGCCAGCTTGTTGCGGCAGGATGGCGATGTGGAGACCTTCCGCCGCCGCCGAGAGGTGCCGGGCGGCATGGAGTTTTCGGGATGTGCAGGATGCTAGCGATTTGGAACAGCCGTGAGGCCACCAGCTTAGCCCTGGAATCCCGTCTGTTCCCTGGCTTGAAGCCTTGCCTCTTGGCCAGTCGGAGATCAAGAACGGCCGCGTGGCCATGCCGGGCGCCCGATGGGTTTCGGAGTTCGGGTATGTGGGGTTTGGTTCTGCTTGTAGATGATTATCTTCACTGTTTTCGCGTGGGTGTGGGGGACTTCTCCGAGCTGGGAAGAGGAAGGAGAGCAAGGATCCAGTAGAGGACTCGGTGCAATGGAACGTTAGAGTACACAAAGAACCTGATCTCCGAAGATTCGAAAGATCCGCGAAGCCTTCCCGATCCATTTCTGCCGCAACAGACCTTTGCCTCCGAGGTTCGCCACGATTGGCTACATGGTTCCGGAGTACTTCAAGTTGCCGTGGACCTGGACTCTTGTGACTCGTGACCAGGGCTTGGAGGCTCCTTTCGGGCGTAGGCATATCTCAGAATATCTCATAATCTCTGCAACAATACATAATAGTATATTGATTGTGGGAGTTTTTGTGTTGGTTTCGGGTGCTTATGGGAACTTTGGCATCTGGGCTTTAGCTTCCTGCTCTCACGGTGGAATTTACCAGCTTGGTTATAGTATTTTTATATTGCACTATGAGGGTGTAGAATCGATTATATTTCAGTTTATGAGGCTTCCGCTCTCACCTCAAAAAGAGGCCCCGAAGCAGAAGTTCAGGGCACCGGCCGCCTGAGGCCAGAGTCGTAGAAATGACGATGTGGGTTTGGCATTCCCGCAACTGGGATGCGGTAGGTCTTCAGGTGATCCGTCTTTCGCACTGCATCCTGAGCCAGCTCAGTACTGCTCCCGTGCAGAGTTCCGTGAAGTCTAGCTTGCTGTAGGGCCATAGTGCATAGTGCGGCAGCATGTAACTGCGGAGCCACTTGCTGTGTACTGTGAATTTAGGTCAAGACGGATTATTTTGAAAACGGTCGTTCCGGAATCGGCGCTTCTCGAAGCCATGAAAATGAACGGATTCGTAAGAACTTCCAGCAGGTGGACTCCTGAAGGTTCCGTGGTTTGCTTAGCGCTTTCTGTACTGGCATGGACGTCTTGGACATGGCGTTGTTTTGTACCGATCCGGTCCAGCTGTTGTCCTCCTTTGCTGGACTTTCCAGATCATGATCTGCTCTGGTCTGACCATGTCAGGTGCCTTCCCTATACCGCACGACTGCAGATGAAGATGAACATGTATGCCATGCAGTCCTTGTTGGTGATGGACGGGAGATCTCAAGCCTCCGCCAGCACCCATCACAACTGTGCAATCCAGGCAGATGGTGAGCTGGTGTGCTTCGGAATAAATGTCTACGGGGAATGTGATGTGCCGGCGGACCTGGGACCAGTTGTGGCCGTCTCAGCTGGGGACTCCCACACCTGCGCGGTGAGAGAAGATGGTGGGCTGGTGTGTTTTGGAGCTAACAGGTATGGGGAATGTGATGTGCCGGCTGACTTGGGGCCGGTTGCGGCCGTCTCCGCAGGGGGATACCACACTTGCGCGGTGAGAGCTGATGGTCAGCTGGTTTGCTTTGGACCCAACGGCCATGGCCAATGCGCTGTGCCTCCGCGTTTGGGACCAGTCTTGACGGTCTCAGCAGGGGGGTATCACACTTGTGCCGTGAAGGTTAATGGTCAACTGGTTTGTTTTGGAGGTAACGGACACGGGCAGTGCGATGTTCCGGCGGATTTGGGACCAGTGTTGACGGCCTCAACGGGCAAATGTCACACCTGTGCTGTGAGGGCAGGTGGTCAACTGGTCTGCTTCGGAGACGACGAGAAAGGGCAATCCGATGTACCATTGGATCTTGGGCCCGTTGTGGCAGTATCAGCAGGTGAGCAGCATACCTGTGTAGTGAAGGCAGACGGAGAGCTGTTCTGCTTTGGACTGAACATGTACGGGGAGTGTGATGTTCCTGTGGATCTGGGACCAGTTTTCACAGTCTCAGCCGGCGGACATCGCACATGCGCAGTGAGGGCAGATGGTCGATATATCGGTTTCCCAAAAACGCCGTTGCCGGTGGATCTGGGACCGCTAATTAGAGTTTAGAACCTGCGAACTTCCGCGGGCGTGAGGGCCGTGAGTTCTTCGAATCTTTAGTCTGATTCACATCCGCTTGCCGAGCAGGGCATCACTCCACGAGCCGCAAAAAGGACCTACCACCCTTAATAACCTTAGAGAAGCCCACAAGATCTACGAATCCTAAACCGAGTTCCCCAGCCGCAAATCGTAAATTGTCTGAACATCCATCAGCAATCTAGCCATCTGTCTTTGCAGATGTCATCGTGTGCACAAATCCGGCAAGCTACCCATGAATCCAGCGATCCAACTAGACTACACATGTATTGGAATGTATTGTCTAGGTACAGACACGGATTAGAGGTACGCGGAATTTACCATTGCTGCCACAAGTTTAAACTTAAGAAAAGGCTTGACACATCGTGAGAGCTGCCACCATAATTCCGACCAAGTCCGGGCTACCTGGCGCCCTCTGCAAATCTGAAATTTGCCGACGTGCCGAATGGTGCGGGACCGAGAGGAAACGGCTCTAGGGGCTCTCCAAAGTTGTAAATTTTGGGTATTTCAGACCAACTGGTCGATGATGTTTTGGCTTTCGGCTTTATGGTGAGCCGTACAGGATTGCCACAACATCCCGAAAAAGCAGCCCCTTCGATGTGCACCATGGCCAAATTCTGGCCGCACGCATGGCAAGCCAAAGTCAATGTACAGAGATGGCAGTACTCTACGTCGAAACTCAAGGGCTGAAGCCCAGCACCTTGCGCTCTCGAGCGCAAAGCCAAGGCTTGGCGGCCATCACCAAGGTGCCTGCTGAGGGCTGGTTGCCGCTTGGCTTTCCGAAATCTTCCCTGCAAAGGCGCTGGTGGAGGTCTAAGAAGATTCGGAGTCCAATCGCTTCATGAAAGGGCCTCACTTTGGGTTGTAAAAAACTGCGGAACACTTTCCCCGAACCTTCAGGTCTTAAGCTCCGCCTGCTCGGACCAACCGGGTGTGTGGGATACTTTTAGTTCAGGGCATCAGTTGCACCAAACGGAAAGTAGACTGCACCGAGGCAGTGGGTTGCCTTGCTGCGACCTCGGCATGGACAAGAGCAGTCTGGTTCGGATAGTTGACACACCAAGCAATACATACGATACGGTGTTTGGACTGCTTTCCGCAAATCCCTGGGCTGGCATCCATGCCCAACGTCAGCCCAAGGTGCGGCTGCTATGAGTGGGTGGTCAACGAGCCGGTGGAGCGCATGGGCAGAAGGGAATGAAGGGAATCGGATGTAAGTTGGTGTGCAGGGGTAGCATACTTGTAGGCCCGGATGCCAGCTTAAGTTTAGAATGCCTACCCCTTGCAAGCAGGCAGATATTCGGTGAGTTGCTTGCGAGCTGTGCGAAGGACCCGGCGGAGCCCGGAAACTATGGCAAGGGCAAGCCAGGGGCCCAAACGACATGAGCATCATCGTTTCTGCAAGATCAATGCGGCCGGGGGGGGCGGGGTGGACGTAAGCCGGAAGGGATGGGTAACAGCCCATATGGTTCGACCAGTATTCTGAGCCACAAAGGAGGAAGCGGCCCGAAACGAAAGGGTGTAGTTTGGCCCCACTCTTAAGCCTCCTAAACCCTACAGAGGACCAACTGGCAAAATGCCTTCTAAAACAGTAGACTTCCCGAGCTGGTACTCTGGCAGACGGAAAAAGAGGCCCTCAAAAAAGGAAACAAAAAAAAACCCACACCCTAAGCTCTGGATAATAAGGCCTTCAGACGCCCTGAGGCTCGGCTACGGAAACATGGTGCTGGGCATCACCGCCGAGTCCATCTCGGATGCCGATGCGCCGGGAGCCCAGCGAGAAGCAGAGATAGATAGATGGCGCGCACACACACACACACACTCCCAAATCCATATGTATATATGTATATATGTATATATCTATATATCTATATATTTATATGTATGTATGTATGGATGGATGGATGGATGAATGGATGGATGGATGTTGCATGTTACATGCACATGTCACACATTATGTGTTACAAGTTACATATTAGATATTTGATATGAGATGTTAGCTGTAACATATTACATCCTGGATGTCAGATATTGCATATGTCCAGTAGCAGTGTAGTAACAGTTCTGGGTTCTTGGGTTAGAGTAACAAGAGTGGTTGATTGAGCCGTGCGACCGGGCTTTGCTGCCAGAGCCAATCAGCAGCTTCCGACCTCAAGCCCAACCGAAATCAGGAACCCCTCGAATTTTATGGGATCCTTAAAGAACCCGTATCAAGGACCCCTGTAAGGGACGGGAGCCTCTGAAGCGAAAGGCGCAAGCGCGGTCTGAACTCGGAGTTGGCGAACGGCCGCCTCGCGATGATGGTGCCCGCAACCCTAAACCCTAAACCCTTCAGGGTATTGGCGGCTTTCACCCTGACCCTGGGAGGGTTTTGTAGTTTTTGGTCTGAAAAGGGGATTGAGCTGTAGGTTTCGAGGGCTTCTGGCCACTGGCTTTGGCAGGCTTTGGTGTTCATCAGGGTTGTTAGGGATAGCTTGCCAGGCTTCGAGATTGGTTTTGTGCTTTTGGATGGCTCGCGTGCCGGAAGAAGCTCTTCAAGGTGAGAGGTGTTCTGGAGGGCACGGGTGGGGCCGGGACTTTGAGAATCGCAGTCCTCATCGGTGTTGCCAGTGGGACTCAAGATTCGGTTCGGGGTGTTCGGTGTCGTCTCGTGAACCCGAAGCCCTGCACCGCCCATGAGCCGCGTTTCTCATTACCTGAACTATGACGTTCTTTTGGTCAACTCGTCCTGAGCATACTGGGTAAAGTAAAGGTGTATCTTTGCAAACTCCGGAACCATGATACCCCCCTTTGGATTGATTTCCAAGGAGACCCCTGTAACCAAGATTGGATGCCCGCAGGCGATCGTGGGGCTCTGGGTCCAGGCCGCTTCTGTGTTTCAGGTCTGCGACGTTCCGGGATTTACTGGTTTGTTTCTCAAGGTCGAAGTTGTAGTTGGGGAATGTCATGAGGGTTCAAGTTGCCTTACGATTCCCACAAGGCCACGCGCAGCCTCTGCCCTCAAGCCCAAACCTTCAATCCTGAGCATCCTCTACCCGGCTCTACCCCGAACCGGGGCAGATTTGCGGGTTCCATTCGTGCTGTGCTTGGCTGTGGCCTAGGCATGTGCGAGGCTTTGCCTCAACAATGAGCTGATCTTGGTTTCAGTACCCAGCGTGGCAGAGGTTCAGCAAGTAGAGGTGCTGGTGTTGTTGCTGCCGCCGCCGCCGCTGCTGCTGCTGACACTGGTGATATTGGTGGTGCGTAAGATGACTGTGTGATGACTACGATGATCCTGAACCCCACTCGAGTTAGGATCAAGATGAGTGTGAACGATGAGCATGAAGATGTGGTGTCCAGGTCGTCCAGGCTTGAACGCAGCTGGTGCTTGGAAAGTTCGCATACAACCTCTGTGTCTGCACAGACAGACAGAGGTGTGCAGTCGCAATCCGCTAGAGTAGCAGATTTGGACACGAGGAACGACGACTCGAAGCCCTGCACCTCAATCCCCAAAAACCCCAAAGGTTTAGGATCCTTGGCTCCTGCCAACAAGGACGGTCTCTTTGGCACCCCTTACGGACTCTACACTGCCTGGGTCCCGCGGGGGAGAAGGGTTTTCTAGTTGTTTTCTAGTAGCAGCAGCAGCAGCAGCAGTCGTGGGGGCGGGAGGAGCAGTCATGAGCAGTCGTCGTTTCGTCGTCGTCGTCAGCAGCAGCAGCAGCTTTGAGCGCAGAATACTCGTCATCGAAGTTCAGACTTGACCCATCGAGATTCCGGCACCATTTGCCTAAGGCGGGCACTAGTAACAGAATGTGGACAGCTTAACTTGCAAGGATGGTGGCGATGAAATCTTCATCAGGATAGGCTGCAGCAGAATCAGCAGAAGCTTGAGCCTGTCTCTCGCGCTTGCCCGTGAAAGATGCCAAGGGCTCCTCAGCCTTCGAGAACGAGTTGGGCGTCCAGGCCCGTCCCACGCCAGACGGCCCCCGCGGTGAGGAGCTTGGGGTTCGGGGTTCGTTTGGCCAAACTCAGTAGATGCTTGTCTTGCAGGGGACAGTGTCGAAGCACAAGGGGGCTTTGCCTGTCTATACCCGACTACTCTGTCGATGGGTCCAGGTGATGTTGAAGTTGTCGTGTCTTCCTCCCAGTGGGCCGATGCAGTATCTAGAAATGTGTGTGCTGACCCAGCGGAACTTCGGCAGCAGTGAAGATCTCGCCACAGCCTAAGGTCTCTGGTTTCTGCAGCCGTCAAGCATCTTGCTCTGCGGCTTTTGGCCTCTCTGTAATTGTCGACCCCAGCTGCAGCAAGACTCCGTTACAACCCAACACTTCAGCACCCTTCATCTGCCAGGCCCCTCTGGGATACTTCGATCCTCTGGGGCTCTCAAAGGACCGAGGGCTCGTTCGTGGGCTTCTGACTTCCTGGGCGGCAGGTCTTGTTGAGTTGCCATAGCCATTGGGCCATGTGAGGTGTCGACGCGACCTGTCTTGGATTATGGTTATGCTCAGGATCAAGTGTGCAGAGGTTTGGATTCAGCACGTGGCCGAAGCGATTCCGAGCTCAGCTGGAGCTTTGTTGCCTAAGCGGTCGTGGAATCAGCGCTTAACCCCTTGGCGGACATTGGTCGCGGACCGGGGAGTAGGCGCGTGTGCAAACAGGGATGTGGTCGTGACGTTGAAAGACTGCTGGGACCTGCAGCCAAAGCATACAAAGATTCCCCCAATCGGCTAGGGCTGCTGTATGCCTCGCCTGAATTCCTACGACGTTGATTTCTCGCCCTTCAGGACGGTGATGTAGAGACCTTCCGCCGTCGTCGTGAGGCAGCTTTTCATATCTGTCGGCTCAGGTCCAGGATCTTTAGTTCGGGTTTTTGGGGTCCAGGCTGCTCTTTCGCAACCAGGAGTTTAGGAGGACTTGTTGAGGGCTTCCAGCTGGAAACTTATGATTTGCAGGGTTGATGGATTGTCAGGCAAGGCTCCTATCCCAGCACCAA